GCCTGGCGGGGGAGGAAATGGGCTCTAGGCATTTAGCGGGCGGGATTGTACCGCTGCTTAGCGGGCCGGGAAGCGGCGCTGGGGAAGGCACGTGTGTTGAGCGGGGCTTGTACCGCTTCGTAGGTGGGGGGTGAGGGTGTCCAGTGCAGATGCGTGGTGCTCGGGGAGTGGGCCTGCTGCATGGGTGGGAGCAGCTGGCAGCAGTCTCCTGCTCTGTGCCCAGGAGGCTGGTGCCTAAGGGAAAAGCAGCCTCTGGCGAGTGGTGTCTAGGCACTACCCCTGCGGGGGGAGGTAGCACCTCTTCAGTAAATACTTGAAGGAGCAGGGAAGGCGTGAGCACCAGAGAAATTCAGAACTAGAGGGGCAAGTCTTCCCGGGGGCTTGTAAGCACCTTGGGATGCTTGTGTCCACACAAACCTCTCTTCACCCATGCTCCTCTCACTTAGACTTGTCAGGGAGGGCATGAGCAAGGTATTAGGTTATGCTCATCCAACAGGCCCAGGAAGTGAGCAAGAGCAACACAGGGCAGCATACTAGACCTACTTTAAAAATAAGTATCTCTTGGTCTCTAATCTACCCCCACATCCCAGTTGCGTGCTATAAAGCCTCAGAAGCACATGAGTCTCTGGCAAAGCTGCTAGTGGATATAAGCTCCTGCTGGTATGGTACCATGCAGGCTAGCACTTCCTTCCTTGCACCACATGCCAACCTGCTACAGAAAATGTGCTTTAAGAAGATATTTCTCCCTCCCCCAGCAGCTGGCTTTTGACCAGAATGCCCAATCAAAGGGACTATGGCAGCTCGTCAGCACTGCTGAAGGGGCTACTATAAGTCTTAAGTGGCAGTAGTAACAGGCTCCCTGCCTACCCCACCCCACCCACCTTCTCAGCTCCCATTGGCCAGGAACCACAGCCCATAGGAATGGTACCTACCAACACTTCTGGGAGCTGCCAGCAGTAAGTGTGGCCCTGCCAATCTGGTTTGAATCCCCGCCTGTACTCCAACTGCCCCCCCCCCAGCATTTTCATTCCCTCTCACCCCTAAACTCCCTCCCACAGCCCATCCTTTGCTCAACCCCAGCCCTACCCCCTCAGCCCACATTTTAAGCCCCCCTGCACCCACCCACCCTTTGTTTCTGGCTCCACCTTGGACAGTCCTTGTGGGTGGAGGGTAACAGGTGGGCTGTGTCTAGACTGGTAAGTTTTTCCCAGAAAATCAGCCGTTTTCTGGAAAAAACTTGCCAGCTGTCTACACTGGCCGCTTGAATTTCTGGAAAAGCACTGATGATCTCATGTAAGATTGTCAGTGCTTTTCCGGAAATACTATGCTGCTCCCGTTTGGGCAAAAGTGCCAGTGTAGACAGCATGGGGCTTTTTTGTGGAAAACAGTACTAATTGCAAAAATGGCGATTGGGGCTTTTTTGCGGAAAAGCACTTCTAGATTGCGGAAAAGCGTCCATGGCCAAAAAGTGCTTTTTTGCGGAAAAGCATCCTGCCAATCTAGACGCGCTTTTCCAAAAATGCTTTTAATGGAAAACTTTTCCGTTAAAAGCATTTTCAGAAAATCATGCCAGTGTAGACGCAGTCATGATGTTTACCAGTAGGGACAGGAGCAGCTTCTCCCCCCCCCCCCCAAAACCAAAGAAGGGGATCCTCCCACGATCTTGCTTCTGTGGCATTAGAGAATTAGTGAAAGGGATGCCCCTGTTGCTAGTATCCAAGCTGTCCCCCCTCCTATCTGCAAATAATCCCACACAAATTCTCCCCTCCCCCTTATCCATACCAAAAATGAGATAAAGGGCCCAGCAAAGCTGCATTTACCCCCTCCCCCACCCTGTAAAAACAAAGGATGGTACAGCAGACTTTTCACATTTGCCTTAAAGTAGTCAGCTTGGGCTTTACCTGCCTGCTAGGTAATGCAGCAACCAGCCACTCAGCTTTTTCAACTAGGCATATTTTTTGGGTGTGTGCCAGTTAGGAGTTGTATGCCAGCAGCTTCTAAGCACAGCTTGTACACCTGGGAATAAATTAAAACTGGCCTAGATTCATTCCCCTACTCCTTTCCCATAGCAGCCACATAACCCACCCCAGGATACAAGTCATAGTAAGCATAAGATTATCTGCATAAAAGGCTCAGCTAGCAGCCCCTCATAAGGGGAGGGTAATACCCTTTCCCCATTACCTTAAAAGAGAGCTTCACAACTGTAACAGCCAATATGGCTACATAAACA